ATGACTATTTTACATCAATCTAATGTGCAACATACAATTGTCCCCATGTAAATAAGGAGGAATATGTGCAAGTCTCGCAAACTGATGTATTTTCCTGACACACACACACACGCACACACACACACACACGCACACACACACACACACACACACACACACACACACACACACACACACACACACATCCCTAGTGATGAACTTTGCTGAAGACGCACTGTTCCATAGAGGCATTACATTTTAATGAGCTGATGGGCGAGTGCGCACGCGCGTGCACACGCACGCGCGCACACAAGCAGGTCTTTTAAATAAGAAAGGGCAGAAGAAAATTCATTTCATGCTCCGTGCTCACTTAAAAAGGCGACAGACACGTGCACGTGCGATAAATGAAAAATGTATGTATTAATGGCATGAAAGAAAAGACGAATAAAAAGATTCTTTACTCTCCTTTTTCAATTCCAATTAAAGGCGTCGAGTTGGGGTCTCTTTATGTTTAGGTGGGAAATTGAATCGAGAAGAGTTTTCATTCCATCCGCGGCTTTCAGCTCTTATCGGGGTGGCCGGCTCCAACGGTGGAATTCATTTGGAGGTATCGCCGGGTCACCGTTTCATGTCGTTGGAATAAAAACAGAGCGCGAGCCTAATAGCGAAATTGCAGATGCCATTTTGGACGGTTGCCAGAAAACCGAACCATCGCCACGCACTCGACAAACAAAGAGAGTGCACTTGCGTCCCTACAATTCTTGCAACTTCCTGTGGCTTGGATGATTGAGAATCGATAGAGCAAGAAAGAACAATTTTTTTTCCACCCAGAAAATATATATATATGTTATATAGCAATAATAGTACATCATATGAGGTCTGCCTGTCTGAAATGATCCAAACGATGCGTTCAGCAAAAAATTCGGTGTCTAAAGTTGTGTTGGAGGCCACAAGAAAGCAAAGCAAAGAGAAAAGAAGAAGCGCTCAGTAGTTTGAGCGTTTCCAAATGCCGGTGACGGGCCACCTTCTCGCCAGGGCTGCCACTCAGACGGAACAAATCTAAGGGCAGCTCGTGCAGGAGAAGGGGCCAATCAGCAACTATTGCTTTCCTGTCACATGTAATTTATAGCTCCGCATTTGCATCTCTTTGCCCGTTCGGCCTCGTCCCGGACTTTGCCGATCGATGAGGCCTCACCCGCATCGGCGTGCTGGGAGGTAGGGGTGGCGGTGGCGGCGCTGGAGGGGGATGCTCGTCCTGCGGAGGGCGGAGGCTCAGACGGTCCGGGTTGGCGAGCGCAAAGTTTCTGCCAGATCGGCGAACGAGGTGACGGCGTCTGGTGTCATGGATGTGCGTTCAACGCAACACGGTGGCGTTGAGTGCTCAATCCCCCCCGCTCTCGGTTTCCACACTGACGCAGTCATGCCGCCGACGCTTCCTCCAAAGTCAGGGAAAAGGCCTCGTCCCCGAGGACCGGCGAGATAGAAAACGGACGGACGCAAGTCGCTCGTTCCACATTCTGACGTTTTCAGCGGGGGGTCAAATGTGCCGCGACTTCCTTTTGCAGGATCATCCGAACAAAAGTGCAGCAGCCCTTCCATCCGTCGCCCGACGGGACGTCCCTGTCGACGGCAGGCCATACCATCGGTAGGTAGCGCGGCTCCTGCGGCAGCACGGCCGCGACCGTGACCGTTTTCATCAGCGGCATCAGCGGGAGCTCGAAATGGACTCGCAGCGGGTCTTGATGAGGTTTTTTGTTGTTTTTTTTCTCCTCCCCCCCATTCCCTCTCAGTGCCAAACACAGCGTCTCCACCAGTAACCAGCGCCTCCAACGACCCCGCGGGGTCCTACTCCATTAACGGCATTCTGGGTATTCCGCGATCCAACGGTGAAAAGAGGAAAAGAGATGAAGGTAGGCTATGTTTACTAAAAAAGTAAATTAAAAAAAAACGCTGTCAAGGCTCACCAGTGGGGGCGTCTGACATTTTCACAACTTGGTTTGGCCGTCAGCTAAGTATCTCCTCCTGTAAGCCGACGGCAAGATGTCGGGCATTTTTCTCCCTTTTGCACCCGGAGGGTGTCGCTGGCGCGGCGTCCTCAGAGGTTCTGCTTTTGATCCCTTGACATGGCCATCTCGGTCTCGCGCCGTTCGGCCACCTCGAGGTCGAGCGCATTCTTCCCGTGGGGGAGCATCGGGTAGGGCGAGTTTTGAGAGAGGACTCCGCCCGCGATGCGATGTCTGGCGGCGAGGCGTTGGACATTCCGAGATCCCTTGGCTTGTGACTGGGGTGGAATCCCCGACGCTTCTGCTTTTTGTGGCCTTGACATTTCCAGCTCGGTCTTGATGCACGGCTTGGAAAACCTTCTGCGAGCAAGCGGTTCTTATCCCCTGCAAGATTTACACTTTGGTGGTGTTTTGAGGACTCTGCTTGATTCTGATCCATTGGCCCCAAAAGGGTCCGGTGGGCAAGCGGTTATCCCGGTGGAGATTTGAGGGGCGCCAATCGATCCGAGCGCAATCCGTTCCTCAGACCAAAAGAAAGCTGAAAGATTCCAATTTGCGGCTGGGTCATGCGAAGCCTCGGTCCTAAGAAGCCTTCGAGTGTCCACCGAGTCCACCTACATTGGTCTATATTTCAGGGACTCCTCCCGCTGAGCGATTCCCAACGGCGCAGAACTGGTTCGTGCCCCCCCCCCACCCCCCTCTCAAAAAAGTGAGCATCATTCTTTCCGCGCTGTGCTGAAGTTGCAACTCCAGCTGGAAAAGGCACCAGCGTTGCAGGCGATGACCCTTCATAAAACACCTGAACTCGGCCACGCCGCCGTGTCAATCCGCCGGGGAGTCTTTTTGATTTGAAGGCGCGACCTCCGCTCTTGTCTGCCGCAATTAATCTTTATGGAAGTGATTAAAGGGCTTTAGATAATTACGTGTCAAGATGATGTAGCCGACCACCCAGGTCAGTCAAGAAATCCGCGACAGCTCTGGGGTCCCTCCCCCCTCACCCCCCTTCTTCCTCCTCCTGAAACAAAAGTGCCTTCAATGGCTGCAAGAAGGCCCGGCGGCCTTGAATAGACGATCGCTTCCGTAAGCAAGAGGCTTCCTTAGTGCTGCTACACGCGCCAGCGGCTGATGAGAACGGCTAAAGAGATGCGAGGTGTGTTTTGGAATGGCGCAAAATGCCTCCTTTCCAGAGCGAGCGCGCGTTGACGTCGCGTCGTCTTTGTTTTCTGGCATGCAGAGGGAGGAATTGATATTTTGATGTGTGCGCGGGTGAGGCGGGGATGACTAATGAGCCGTCAGAGGTCGATTTCCTGGCAGAGATATCAAAGCCAGCGTGACGTGGGCACGGCAAATGACATCATCAAGGCAACGAGATGCGGTGGCGAGGGCGTCGTGCGAACGGCCGCTGCTTTCCGGAGTTCATTCGCGGCGGCCCTCATATTCAGCGCAACGTCTCCGATGATGGAAGGTGCGCGTTTTCACGCCGATGGCGACTGAAGGGCACAAGCCTATTAGAGGGCAGAGAGAGGAAGCCGGCGCCATTGTTTTTAGTCGTCCAACAACATACATCGCGCTACTTTTTGTAGGACACCCCCCCTCCCCCACACCCAAAACCGAAAGATGGCAAATTTTTGTTGCATTTCGGTGTCAAACCACTCAATCATCCCGATACGAGTCATCATTTTTTTTGCCGCCGCTGATCAGTCACAATCAGCGGCACTGAACGAATGGCGCGTTGAAGCAAATTTTCATCAAGCGCCGCCGCTCTCGGCTAATGTCTCTGCGTGGCCTCGTTTGCAGTTCGTACATATTTGTGCACCGCTCGCTAGGCTGTAGTCCACAGTCAGTAAATGCCGCCACCGCATTTCCTCGCAGCGAGGCCTCATTTAACGCGGTAAGCCGCGTGATGATTATGGCGAAAGTCATTATCAAGCACCGAGGAGGGAGGGAAAAACACACACACACACACACGGGGACGAGCGTCAAAGGCAACCGAGTATTTGCTCCTGTGGCGCTCTGCCGAGTAAGGCTCCAATCGTGACCGAGGAGCTGCTTGGTACCATCGTACCACGCGAGCGCCCAAAAGTCTGAGCGTCTGTCGCCCCTCACGGGCACGCCAAAGCGGCGGGTGGCACCGCCATGCCCGAATCCGTGGCCCGTTTTCACCTTTCACCAAACGATTGTCTTGCCGAAGCCTCGTGGGGAAGACCGCAAATCAAAACGATCCATTTCACTTTGGGGCGGGCCGAACGGCGGCTCGGCATCCGTGCCGCGGGCCGGTTCGAGTATCTTGCCTCCAGTCGTCTAAGATAAATGCAAACTTGACTTGCTTGCTCGGTCTCGACGAGTCGACGCTCAGCGACGGGAGTAACAGCTGGCTTTGAATCCTCCATACTCGCTCAAAGGGTTTCTAAAAGCGCAGAACCACACGCAAAGTTGACTTCGCCTGCCGCCGCCGGCCTGCATTTGCGCAGTTAGCTCGTTAGCGTACTTATCTGAGCGTCCAGTATGAGAGAGAAGCTGCCTGCCAAAAAGGCAAATTTTGGCTCATGAAAAATGTCGGAGCAGACGATTCATCTCTTACTCATCCCTTCCAAATGACTATCGATGCAGAACAAACAAAGGATTCAATTAGGAGGGGTGGGGGTTCGGGGGGGGGGGGTTCTAATCTGATTCAAATGAGTTTTGATTGGATTTTCCTTTTGGGGAAAGGACAACAATATATCAGGGGTAGGCGAGCATATGCGTGTTGACATGTTATTTAAACAAGGATCAAAGCCTTCATCTGAGGGCAGGGGTTGCGACCTTCAAGCGTGACGACTCCCATTTGATTGTGTCAACACTTTTAGTCGGAAATTGTGAGGAAAGGAGCTACTCTCGTTGTTTGCGCGTTTTTTTTTTTCCGGGGCTGGGGGGGCAAACTTTGGGCAGGACGCAGCACTCAGCTCGGAAGCTCCCGCCGTGGGTCACGACGGTCAGGTGGCGTACCTGCAGAGAGGCGTCTGCACGCCGAGGGAGGTTATCCGATCCGGCGGGGCGGCGCGGGGGGCGGGGTTCGGTTCGGAGGCCATACGACCGTTCTCTCAACCTGCGATGAGTCGACTCAACAAACACGCTTGCGGAAAGGACGGTTTTGACAAACGCGGCGGGCGAGGCGCTTGTGTTCGCGGGGCAAGCGTGTCGACTGTGGCTCTCTCTCCTTGTAGATGGCTCAGATGGTTCTGGCCCAAACAGTGATTCTCAGGGTAGTGTGGAGAGTTTACGGAAACACCTGAGGGCCGACGCCTTCACCCAGCAGCAGCTGGAAGCGCTGGACCGCGTCTTTGAACGCCCCCCGTACCCGGACGTCTTCCCTACGTCGGAGCACGTCAAACCGGAACAGGTTAGTGGAGCCGTTTCCTCTTTGTTCGCACGTCTGCACTAATGCTAATTCAAGCCGGCCGAGACGAGGAAATGCGGCGGAGGATTCCCGCCGGGAAAACTCCCGCGCGGTATTGATTTTGACACGAAAAACGCATTCCTCGCATCGTCTTGAACCGAGACTAACGGCACGTCAACGGCAACGTCTTGCCTTCATGTGCCGGCGACGCGTCACGCGGGAAATTTCGAATGATGACGCGGCAAAAGGGCGACCGGGCACTGGCTTATTCCTTCACGATTCATTTGCTGAGCGGATGATCGGCAAGCCAAGCGTTTTCTTCTGATTTACGGTGACATTAATGTCCTACCCAAAAGTATTCGGGCTACTCAGAAAAATAGAAAGTCATAGAAGTTGCCATTTTAAAACAAAAATGGGCCAACTGTCTCGTCGAGAAACAAGGTTGCGAGAATACAAAAAAAATGAAAGTAGTGACGGGAATAAAGCCGGAATCGGACAAGGAAAAAATCTAATCCAAATTTCCAAAAGTAAGGTTGTCACGGACCAAAGGCACGGACGGCATCAACCCGATCCGTGTTCAAACTCCACGTCGGCGCCATAAAAAGCGGCGGCCTAATTGAGTGCATTTTCATTTCTCTCCAATCGGGCCGAATTAGGCAGGCGATAAATCAGTGGGACAGGCCTCACCTCCAGAAGAGGGCCTAATTTGCAGCTAATTACAAAACTGATTTCTACTGGAAGATCAATACCAAAACCAATTGGAAATGACTCACAATCACAAAGAGCGTCAGGGGGAGGATTAAAAGGCTCGGCGCGAAGGGACGGAGGGGGGGACGCTGGTTGGACTTCAAAAAAAAAAAAAAAAAAAAAAGGAACCGTTCAGAAAAATCCGTTTTAATTTAACGCAATATTAATCAGAGCACTTCCCCTCTCACGGGGGCCTCCTCCGACCCCCCCTCCTCCCCGTGCAAAACGCGGCCCTATTAGCCAAGTGTCTGGGCGCTGTAGTGACGCATTAAAAAGCCATTGTGACGACGGCGCCCTCCCACACTTCTGCCTGCCATGTGGTCGTCCCCTTTTCACGCCGCGGCCCCCCATCTGCATGAGAAAACGTCTGCCCGAGAGAGCCAAACATCCCACCTTGTGCCAGCCAACAGTTTGAGTTTAGCGGCGATAGGAGCAGACAAGGGTGGGGTCACGGGCGTCGACCCCCCTCATGGGATCGGGGCCCACAGAGACACAACCGGGCCTCGGACAAGCTTTGTCCCACTCCGGAAGTCTCATCTCATTAAAGAGGGAGGAAAAAAAAACAAAACAAAAAAAAAAACACGCCAGCAGCTGCTATCGCCGCAAAAAAGAAGAACAAAGTAATTCTTTTGTGCTGGATTTAGGATCTTGATGGAAAACTGAGTAACAATGTGAAAGCAATGAAGAGACACATCTTTTAAATATTGGGCTGAAATTTTTTTTAACCTTTCATAATTTAATTTGACTCGAAAAATAGTGCGTCAAAAAACATAACTTTCTTCTGATCACATGGTAACAAATACTCATTTTCAGTGGGGCCCGAATATGGTCCAACATTTTTTTTTTTCCTCTCGAAATTCACCGCCTCCTTGTCCTCGAAAATGAAAGCACAGAGCAAAACCAAACATCAAGTTACACCCCCAAAAAAAACAAAAACAAACAAACAATCAGTCTACCGACAAAAGCGTCTCGTAAACTTTGGACTCATTCAACGGACGTAAGAGCGAATCTCAGCCGTGGCTTCCTCTCTAGGTTGCTTTGCTTGGACTTTTTCGCTGGGTGGGGCATTTCCGTCCAATTCTGAAATGTGCATTATTTTTTGGGTGCTGCAATTGCACCACCTAACTTTGTCTCATATCAAGTTCTTCATTTATTCGGGTTCAGAAGGAAAGCATAACCTCCGACGTGGCCCTCAGTGGGCAAACCCAGAAACGAGCCGAGCCATGATTGCGAAACGGTGCCCCCCCTCGATAGGGATGCAAACGGCCGGCATTCTCTGCCGACTTCCTACTCCGCAAGGACATGATTATTGTCAAGTTTTGACTTCCCCTTGAACTTTTTATTTTTTTTTGCCGAAAAACTCAGTTGCCGCCTCACAACAAACGGGTTGTGCAAAGTCCCCCTTGAAACGCATGACCAAAGCATTCAAAATGCGGCTCATCGGGAGGGCAGTCGAATATTTTTAAAGACGGGCGGGGGGTCCCCACGCGGCACGCGCGCACCGAAGCGGATCCTCGAGATGAAGAGCGGGCCGAGACGCAAATCCAGTGGCGATACGCTTGCGCGGCGGCCTCAATCGGGCATGGAGGTATTGTCTGGTTGCGTAACCCCTCCGTTGTGCGCTCCCTCAGGCTAATGAGTACGCGCTGCCCGGCCTCAATTCCAGCCTGGACGAAGTCAAGCCCAGTTTGTCGGCCAACGCCAACCCGGAGCTGGGCCCCAGCGTGTCGCAAAGCTTCCCCGTAGGTAAGATCGAGCCTCGCCGTATGGCAACGCGTCAACATTCCAAAGCCAAACAAATAAGTCAAGGGGGAAGGCCACACCCCCCCCCCCCCCCCCCCCCCCCCGAAGCAAAGCTTATGCGGCCCTCACAGGAAAAAGTTTGGGGACCGCTGCTTTCAACGCATTTTCAGCCCCCGA